ATTAAAAGAATTTATATTTACATTATGGACAATTCAGGGAAGATGCAGTAATAATCATAGCTATCAGAACATTGATAATCGATTTCGTCAAAAACATATATTTGGTTCCGCATCCAAATATCTTTATAATCCATTTTATTTTATATAAAGTTAATGAAGGTACGTTCATAGTATATTTAACTAGTATAATTATTTTGATATATTCACTTAAGAATAATTATTAGTAATTTTTCAATCAAATAAAATTGATTCTAAAGTTTTATCTATTGATACTTATAATTATACACTCAAAATTAATTTTGATAATAAGTTTTTAAATAATATTTAATATAAAAATTAAGTCATTATTTTTTTATTTTATAAATAAAATGTTATTATTATTTTTTATTTTTTTTATGTTTACTCAAAATCAATTCTAAAAATTTACATTGATTTAAACCAATTATGCCAACATATATCCAATATATACATTGAGTTAGTGTGTTAATTCGTATTTAAATATCAATTTAAAATTATATTCAACAAAAAATATATATTTCAATAAAAAAATAATTTTTTAATTCCAGTTGAATTTAACTTAACTGCTTTCTAAATACACCCTTAATAATTGAATATGTGAATAAACCCTAAATTCCATAAACGAATATAATTAACAAATCAGAAGAAAAAAAACTAAAAGAAATCCCCTCATCTCTTCCCTAGCCTCGATCGATATAATTCCACCACTCTAAATATAATTTAGTTACAAAAGTGATAGAAAACATAAAAATTTGAATTTCAAAAACAAGCTAATACAAAATTATATAAGAAAATAATGTTTAAAATTTTAATAATTTTTTTATAAATTCAAATTGTGAAATGATAAAATAATTTAATCATTTCATAACTATACTATAAATAAAATAAATTTTATTAATTTCTTTATATTTAAAGTTTAATTTGTGTCATCAATGGAACATATATTTAGTTATACAATATAAATATTATTTAAATAATTATGTTTATATTTAAAAAATGTTAAATTTAAATCATTTTAAAAGTTTAAATATCAAATGATAAAAAAAATCAATTATTTTATGATTATTTTTTAAAATAAAATAAAAAACTATTTAATTAAGTCTCATAAATGTAATTATTTTACATAAATTCCCAAATTTTAGTTTATCACATTATTAATAATTTTCGATAGGATTGATAATTAGTTTTGTAATTGTTGAGTTAAAGTTTCAATCAATTTATCTTCAATATAGGTTATTCACTTTTAATAATTATAAATATTTTATATATGTATAATATTATAAAATTTGTATAAAAATATTTATTTGTTTGACATGATATTATTCATGATAGTAAAATAAAAATATTGTATATTATTATGTATAATTTTTTTAAAAAGGGTTGATAATTAATTTTATAATCATAAAATTAAAATATAACCTAACTTGTCTTTAATATGGTGGATTACTTAAAACACTTTTAAAGTTGACTTTCAATATATTTATTAAGAGTCAATAGTATTTTACTTTTTTATTTATGATATATATTATCTAGTTAATGCTAAATTATCATTTCTAATATCATCTTAAGTACTCATGTTTACCCATATTGTTAAAAAGGTTGTTTAATTTGCATCATAAGACCTAATCATGTAAGATATAAAGACTTAGCCCCTTAAATAATTATTATATAAGAAGTTTTTCAAACTACATCTTATTAAGTCAAATATAAAATAATTTAAGTCACAAACTTAATAGAAATTAACCACAAAATACAAAATTAAAACTTATAAAAATCAAGACCTAAATAACACGTTTTAAATAATGTATAATTATGTTAGGATGAAAAAAATAATAGTGCAATATAACATTAATGAGAATGCATATCAAAATTAAATATTAAGGATAAAGTAGAATTCTATAATAAATTTAAATTATTTATTTCAAAATTTATTTTTATCATTGTAAGACTCGAGCTTCTCTTCCCTCATTTTTCCACTCACTCTACTCCTACTTCTTCCTCAAAGGGTGGAACATCCTCATTTTCTCTGGTTTTTCTTCTTCTCCGCAAGCTTATTCTTTCTCGGACGTGGTGGAGTTAGGGTCGTGGAGTCGAAGCTCATTTCCCTTCCTCGTTCTTTCCGTGGTAGCTTGGAGTTTTTTCCTAAGTTCTCATCTAGCCCGAAACCTTGGAGTTTGCGAATTCGAGGTTAGGGAAACTATATTTTATGGTTTTCTTTGAAATGGATTTTTGACGATTGTGATGCACTAAGTGTGTGCATGTAGGATTTGTATGTGTTTCTAGATTGTTTGATGCTTGGATGTCAAGTGGTATGGATTGCATGTTGTGGACTCTTCTGATTTTCAGGTTTTGATGAAATTTTCAAAGTTTGAGGAGTTGCTGCTTGAACTTGCGCCAGGCGCAATTTTTGGCGCCAGACGTGTATTCATCAGGGGTCACCATTGTTAAATCACGCCGGGTGTGATATCAAATAGTGACCTTGTGTGGGTGTTTTACTGATGCGGCGCCGGGCGCAGGGTTGATGCGTCGGGCATGGAGACTCTTTTGAGTCTCTGACTTGAGGGCGTCGAGTGCAGGGTTGATGCGCCGGGCGTGGAGACTCTTTTGAGTCTATGACTTGAGGGCGCTGGGTGTGGAAAAGCCTTAGAGCTCTCGGGTTGGATATCACGCCAGGCGCGAGATGGTTGCGCCGGGTATGAGTAAGCTGAATGATTTGTTTAAGTTGCTATGTTGTTTGATAAAGATGAGTTGAGTAGGGTTGATCTAAGTCGTTTATATGTTGTTATTGATGAAGTATGTATAAGTTAAAGTAGTCTATTGTTGTAAAGTTGTAAGTTGCTCTAAAGTTGTTGAAATTTAGATTTTGATGAGTATAGTTGTTTAAATTGTTTACTCAAGATGTTATTATGTTGCTTATTGTTGTAAAGATGGTTATTGTTGTAAAGTTGTAAGTTGCTCTAAAGTTGTTGAAATTTAGATTTTGATGAGTATAGTTGTTTAAATTGTTTACTCAAGATGTTATTATGTTGCTTATTGTTGTAAAGATGGTTATTGTTGTAAAGTTGTTAAGATGCCTATTGTTGAAAAAGTTGTAAAGTTGGGGACATATGGTGAAGATATATGTCTTGTGTTGAGATACATCGTACTAAGGGTATAAGTTGAAAGTTGTTTTAAAAAGTTGAATCCATTGGTATGGTGTGGGCGATATGGAAGTAGTCGATCCATGTCATGGTTGAATGACCAATTTGAGTAAGGTATCTAGTTAGAGATGTAGTCTTTGACCAGGTACTGGAGGGTGCGTGGTACTTGGAGGGTAGTGGGTGTGCTAATTCCATATGTGGATTGGTGATGTAAGCCAAGGCCATGGTAGGCCCATACCCAAACCCTTCTATCTTGACAGTAGTACTGGACCTCCGAGTCTAAGTGGCACACCTGAGCAACCACCTATTGTTATCTATACTTGGTTCTCTTTGGAGTTCCTAACGATGCCCTATACTTGACCTAGTTAAGATAAGTTAAACGCTGGATTCGGTAGGTTTATGCCACTTAGACTGTTCAACCTCAGTTGTTGGAGATCTCCTAATTTTATATGTGTGACGACACATTAGTTGATGATATACACATATCTATTGTTGTTTGTGCTGTTGTTTTAAATTTGAAAGATGTATAGTTGAATGTTGAACTCTATTGTTGTTCATTTTATGTTGATGTTATTTTATGATGATTATTGCTGTGAGCTTACCCTAGCATGTTTTTCCTCGTGGATTTGGGACTGCCATGACCATACATTGTATGCGAGCAGTTCAAGATTAGGTGGTGTTGTGAAGGGTTAGCGGATTCTGTTGAGATTCAGTAGGAGAGCTGAGACTTTTGTTGTGAAATTTTTTTTGTAGTTCGCCAATCATTTTGTATAGAATATTACATTAAATTATCAGTCATATATATGTATTTGGGACATTAGTTGTTATTTCCTAATATGTATATAACTGTTTAATTATGATGTGTTATTTATACATTATGTATGATAAGAGAAATACATGTTAGTGTTTCTCCTGACGCTATAAATTGTGTGAAGACCTGGCGAGTCATTACAATCATCATTAAGATTGATCTATATTTAGATGACAATATAATTTTTATTATTTTTTGTGTATTTTAATTAAATTTTAAAAATTTATATTAAATTGTATGAATATGAATCTCTACAACTTAACAATATTATATATATATATATATGAGAAACTTCCTCAAAATATATAAATTTAAAGAACTCTAATATTTATCATAATCATAATCCAACATAAATTTTAAAATTAATTTAACATAAATGCATATCAAGA